TTGCTATGATGTGCACTGACCACCAGGGGGCAGACGCTCAATGCAGGAGCTGCCCCCCTAGTGGTCAGTGCACTCCCACAGAGGAAGCATAGCTCAGCTGACCGACGGGTGCCAGATGCTTGGCTCACTGCTGGTGAGTGCAGCTGCTGCGGCACAAGCTTTTCCCTCCTCCATGGCAGTGCTACTGAGCTGTGGCAGCAGCAGGTGCAGTGGAACCGGGATGAGCGGGAGCAGAGTGGTGCCTGGGCTCGGGCTCCTCCCCGGCAGCCTGCTGCTTTGAGCACTACTACATCCCTCGGGGGATGTCAGACTGCCAGTTTTTGGCCCGATCCCTGGAAGTCTGACATCCCCTGAGGGGTCCCAGATTGGAGAGGGTGCAGGCCAGGCTGAGGGACCCTACCCCCTCCCCCCCGCCAGTGCACGAATTTCGTGCACCGGGCCTCTAGTGTATATATATGAATCTAACAACATACACACACACACATATATCTATATGAGAGAGAGAGAGCTATTACATAGGTAATCAGAATAGAGCTCTATAAACAAAATGCCTTTACTACTGATGAAGTAGAATTCTATCAAACTTCCATTTTTTAGATCTATAATTTCTCCAATTGGCAGTGGAGATAGTACAGCAATTCTTAGGGCTCAGGTTTTCTGGAAACAGTTCCCAGATCTTGAGAATAAAAGCACCATAAAAATTCAGCCCCTTTCCCATTAATTAATGAATAATAATGTAGTGCATACTATTTTCCAGGTGTGGGACAAAACATAAGGTAAAAATTGTCCTAGCTTACATGAAACTTACCGTCTTGTATAATAGTTAGCAAACCCTTTCTTAATTCTGGATAGTAAAAATTTTGAGATTGGGCCCATACAGTCTCTGCTGCAGCTATTCAACCCTGACATTTTATAGCACAAAACAGTCATAGACAATATGTAGACAAGTGAGTGTGGCTGTGTTTCAGTAAGCTGCCCATGGGCATAAACAGCCAACTGGTGATCCATGCTCTGGTAGGTGAAAACGACAAGTAATCAGGCAGCAGGGATAGTTTCTCTTTGGAGAAGGAATTAAAGGTTCAAGAAGGCCTTTCAGAAGAAGACATGTTGGCAAATCAATAATCTAAATAAAGCTCTACCAAATCAAATGAATTCAAAATATGGAAGGCAGGAAATAAAGAATCTAAGAACATAAATTAGGAAGAGAAAACCCAGATGTAGATGTACAGGAGAGAGGATCAACAAATATAATGGTTGGTTCTTGGGTACTTGGTGGGGTGGAGGACCCACTCTGTAAAGTCCCTCTTTTTCTAAGCACTTTGCTGTATATGTGAATCTAATACAGAATAATATTGAATGTAGCCATAATTTAAATGAATAAGTACACAACAATAACAGAACCCCAGGTTCCTGGTAAAACTGATCCAGAAAAAGAAAAAAAAAAGCAAATAACCAATATTGGAAACAAAGAGTACACATCACACAGAGATGAGTTAAGAGAGAGGTCTATTACAAGACATCTTTAAGTCCTCATAAAGTTTCTGACTTGTTAAATCCTCAATAATTTTATGCCAAACATTCCCCTTTTATACATTACTTTAAAAAATATGTAACTCCACATGATAAATATTTGTCTTCTTAAGACTCCAATTGATAATTCACAATACCAATGAAATACTTAGGAATCAATTTAAGCAAGTACATGAAAGATCTATACACTGAGAACTATAAGACTTTGATAAAATGAAGTTGAAGAAAATACAAGGAAATGGAAAGATACCCTGTGTTCATGGATTAGAAAAACTAATATTGTTAAAATGTCCATTATACATAAAGTCATCTATAGATTTTATACAATTCCTCTCAAAATTCTGAGGAAGAAGAACAAAGCTGGAGGTATCACACCTCCTGATTAATAACTATACTACAAAGCTATAGTAATCAAAACTGTAATGATGTAATCTTCTCTCTCTCATATATCCTATCTAATAGACAAACATGGTAATTAACTGTACCTCCAACATGCTTCCCATTGGCTAATCAGGGCGATATGCAAATTAATTGCCAACCAAGATGGCGGCTAACAGCCAGGCAGCTGAAGCAAACAGGAGGCTTCCTTGCTCCAGTGATGGAGGAAGCCAGGTTCCCAGCCTGCCGCCGCCCAGCTCTGAGTTGCACTCTAAGCAACTATGTTG